TTTGCTTTTAAAGTCACTTCACTTCCATTTTTTATTGGTTCATCAGGGGAATTGTATCCCAAGAAAATTGAGAAATGTTTAAATGGTACAAAGAATAAAAGAGGCAAGCATTAATCTAACATATGATTACCTAACCTGAAAGCAATAGATTTTTAAAACATTTCAATATACTTCTAATCTATTTTACATAATAAGACCTAAATCTCCCTAATACTTTGAACTTTTAAATTCTTATATGATTCTAAATTCAAAATCATTCTATGGGCTTTCAACTTTCCTTTTATCATTAATATAAAACAGTCTCTTGAGGCAAAATCTTAGGCTTTTAAGGCATTTTAATAATTCTCTCATTTAACAAATATTGTTTATTGAGTTCTTACCAGAAACAAGGTAAAGTTAGGAAAACAAGGTAAAGTTTAGGAGTTCTAAAAAAACCACAACATTTAATCTTTTCACAGTTTTTCAAGCATTTACTATATTACAGCAGGAAGAATAAAGGCTGACAACATGAGGTCTGAATCCAGGCCTCATTATCAGGTAAAAGTGAGCAAGTTACTTATCCCCTCTGCACACTGATCTTTTCTCTGTAAAATGAGGATGATATCATCCACCTTGAAGACATGTTATAATTCAAATGTCTAGTAGAATATGTGACCTAAATGGAATCTATTGAATTATCTTTCAGTTCTAAACAACCACTGCAAAAACTCACACTATTTATACTAATAATAAGCACCCTATCTTAAACAATGCTACTTGAACTACATTATATTCACATAGGCACTTAAGATGTATAAAAATTCAATCTGATGCTATACTTCATATAATCTTATATCAAATGCATTTCCAATTAATAAAAAAGTAAAAATCCATTTTGAGTAACATTAAATAAGTCATATGTACAGCATATTAAATAGCTTCCCAAATAAGTATGCTGTTTCTTCTCAAGTGAGTTCCACAGACTCAATATATCAATAAAGGAGCTACTTTTTGAGGCTAGAGTTCCTAAATTGTAACCACTGAGACCTCTGAAGGGATAGTCCCAAGAACTGAGGTTCCCCTTGACTAAGTGTCAAAGAATAGCACCTACAAAGGCGTTTAGGGCAATATTTATTTATTTGTTAAAGGTACCTAAGAAAGGGCAAAATCATCTTTTGAACCAAGAATACCCCTCATTGAACTTTCCTGTATTAAAATATGTTAATGCCCTGAAATAATTAATGTGCCTCCCAAAGAGCTAAATTTGAATTTCAATTTGGGGGTAAGAAGGGACCCTTGGCTCCTTGATTCCCATTCTATATCCAATAATCTAACAAGGAGGAAACTAAAGCCAAGGGAGTGAGCAGGAGATTTTCATAAGATATGGCTAACCCATGGCAGAGACTAGAGGGGACAGGATTCAAAGTACCAGACTTCCAACCCAGTGTACTGCTCTCAAGAGCAAGTTTCTAATTCTGTTATAATAAAGAAATGATTTATGCATATCTAGTTAAGAAAAAAAATATCTGAAGACGTGTACTCAGTTATTACTCACTGGGTTCTTAATAAATACACTTTTAACTATGTGAAGAAAATCATGAGATATTCTAATAACGAAATAAGCATTATCAGTTTTTCTGAATTTAAGAAATATTAAAAACTGCTGTGATTGCTTCTAAACCTTTTTTTAAAGTTCTAAAATAAGCAAGCAAGTAAGCAAGCCGACAGACTTAGAGTTGGATGAACTCATGATTTATCCACCGCCACATCCAAGGAATCTTTTCTAGAATATTCTAGCAATTGGCCAACCAGCTTTGTTTAATGTTTCAGGGATAAGGAGCATTTTCAAAAGGGTGCAAACCAACCTCATTACCATACAATCTAGTTACAAGGGCATTCCAAATGAGAAAACCCAACCCAGCTTCTCTGTAGACTTCTATCCATTAGAAACAACTTTTCCTCTGGATAAATATTGAATTAGTCTAGTTTCTTTTTTGTATTTCATGCTTAGCTGTTCAAATATTTGAAGCTAGTCAATCTAGCATTCGTCTTTTCTCTTCTTTTTCTTTTTCTTTTTTTTTTTTTTTGAGTTGGAGTCTCACTCTGTCGCCCAGACAGGAGTACAGTGGCACATTCCCGGCCACCGCAGCCTCGACCTGCTGGGCTCCTGCGATCCATCCGCCTCAGCCTCCTGAGTAGCCGGAACTACAGGCGCACGCTACCACGCCCGGCTAATTTTTGATTTATTGTAGAGATGAGGTCTCGCCAAGTTGCCCAGGCGGGTCTCGAACCGCGGGGTCAGGCAATCTACTCACCTAGGACTCCCAAGGCGCGGAATTACAGGCTGAGCCACCGAGCCCGGCTTCTTTTCTCTTCTTAACAAATAAATCTAGAATATTAAAAGTACTTTGGGGGGTGCTCAGTGGCTCAGCCTGTAATCCCAACACTTTGGGAGGCCAAGGCGAGTGGATTGCCTGAGCCCGTGTGTTTGAGACCAGTCAGGGCAGCTTGGAGAGCCCTCGTCAGTAAAAATAAAAAATTAGCTGGGCATGATAGCGTGTGCCTGTAGTTCCGGCTACTTGGAAGGCTGAGGCGGAAGGATCAGCAAAGCCCAGCAGGTTGACGCTGGGATGGCTGTGATTGTGCCACTGCACTCCAGCCTGGAGGACAGAAGAGACTCTAACTCAAAAAAAAAAAAAAAAAAAAAAAAAGGACTTGGAAACAGATCAGACAAATCATTTCAGTATCACTGAGCTCAACAAAGGTTTATCAAATCCTAGGTATTTTGCTAGATGCTGGGAGTTCCAAGAGAAATGAGACATAATCCTTGACCTAAAGGAGCTTACAATATGGTGAAAGAGAGAAGCATATAGAGAGGTAACTTAAATCTAATGTCAGTAAAGTGCTAAAATAGAGTCATCTCCAAGTACAGTTACAAACAAGATTAGACAACAAGGAAGGAATCAAGATGAAAGATCAGAAAATACAACAGTGAGTGCTATGCCAGCGTCACAAATCTGGATTCAAATTCCTGAACTGAACATTCTATATAAACTTTTTTCTTTTTTTTTGAGCTGGAGTCTCACTCTGTTTCCCAAACTGGAGTGCAGTGGCGTGCTCATGGCCACCACAGCATCAACCTGCTGGGCTCAGGCGATCCTTTTGCCTCGACCTTCCAAGTAGCTGGAACCCCTGACACATGCCACTATGCCCAGCTCATTTTTGTTGTTATAGAGATGAGGTCTCGCCAAGTTGCCCAGGCTGATCTCAAATCCCTGAGCTCGGGCAATCCCCTTGCCTCGGCCTCGCAAAGTGCTAGAATTACAGGCATGAGCCACTGCACCTGGCCTTCTACATAAACTATTAAACAATGGTTCAATTTAAACAAAATGTGATAGTTCTTAGAACCTATATAGAGAGGATAATGAGGGACTGAAAATATCAAAATACCTATACACTCATATTCAGAAACATCATTAGCATACAGTTAAGTAATACATATTTGCTAAATAAAATAAATTATTCTAAAACAGATCTTAAAATCAGTCACATTATATAAATTCATAAGAGACTGGTTTTCCTGACTTTTGCTTTGAAGTGTAAAGTAGAAAAAATTATTTGGTATGGCATCCAAGAGAGCATTCTTCTTATTCGATAACATATTTTTTTAAAATGAAAATTCAGAGAATTAAAACATGAATATTCAGGATTCCAAAACAATGGCAAGCACAATTCATTGATGGGATGTTTATTTTTCTGTGACCAAGAAATTCATTAAAGATGGAATTCAGGAATAATACTTGAAGTGATATAGCTCCTATCGCTTGAGTATAAGAGTTGAACTTTAAAACTTTCATCTTTATTTCAAACTACTACATGTAAAAAATAAGATTAAAAGTTTTCTGACGCTGGGCTCGGTGGCTCAGCCTGTAATCCCGCGCCTTGGGAGGCTGAGGTGAGTGGATTGCCTGAGCCTGCAGGTTTGAGACCCGCCTGGGCAAGTTGGTGAGACCTCATCCCTACAATAAATCAAAAAATTAGCTGGGCATGGTAGTGCGTGCCTGTAATTCCAGCTACTTGTAAGGCTGAGGCGGAAGGATTGCTGGAGTCCAGCAGGTCAAGGCTGCGGTGGCCGGGAGCG